TCAGTTGAAACCGATTGACCTTTTGTAAAAACTAATCCACTCGTGTTGTATTGGTTTGGATCGTTTTTTGGTTTGGTTAGTCGGTTCAAAAGATTTAAACTTAAAAGTTAAACTTAATTTTAAAAATTACACTACAATTGTTAAAAAATTAGTTTAAAATTATATTTATGATATAAAACATTTTAGACTAAGAAATATGGGAAATTTCCAACTTTTCCATATTAAGAATTATATTTAAAATATAAAATTAATATATATCCATGGTTAGGTCATTCGATTTTGGTCGGTTTACAAATGGCCAAAGTGAAACTGATCCAACTTGGTTCAATTGGGAAATTTTTTAACCAAGGCTAACCTAAAATACTAGAAAACTGACCATCAATTTCATTAGTTTGGTGAATAAACCTAACTGAACTTAATTATTGTTATTTTTATATTATAAAAAAATTATTAAAAGTAGTATAGAAAATATGAATAATTATTAATTATTTAAAAAGTTGAAAAATATAAAATAATTGTATACTCTTATGTGTTTCTATTAGGGTCATTTACTACAACACACTTTATAGTTTTACATATTTACTTGAACCTACCTTATATTTTTCATTTTAGTAAAATATCCCATATATTTTACAACTTATTTACTTAATCAACCTTTCATTAAGGAGTTTTGCCATTAGGCCCATGATTTTTTATTCCAAAAATACCTTTAACGCTTTTTTGTACAGAAAACAAAATTGACCATATATAGCCAATAGAGTAGTTAGCCATGTCTTATTAAGGGCAACAATGGTATTTTTATTTTTATTTTCTTTTGATTAAATATATTTAAATGAACATTAGGATTAACAATGTCATTTTCCACTGTCATCTAGTGGAAGATTGATTAAATCCATTGCAAATTATAAGTGGTGTTTTAGTAAAATGTTAACTATAGGGTAGATTTTAGTAAATCCATGAAACTATAAGGGGTATTTTAGTAAATGACTCTCTCTCTCCCCCCCATGTTCCAATATTCTAAATAATCTAATATTCTAAAATTACTCCTCAGCAGCCTCCCCTAGTATCCCCAACTTTCTCCTAAGTTATCTCTAATTTAGTAGAGAGTTTCTCTCCTAAATTATCTCTAATTCTTATTTATCTTCTCCCCCACTTTTTATCTATATCTATCTAAAGAAAGTCTGAATAAAAAAAATTAAGAATTATTTAAATATTCCAATAAAATTATATAATAACTTTAAAATGTTTATTAAAAAGACAAAAAATAATTACAATCAATTTAATAATATTCATATTATTAATAATTATATATTTTTATTCAGTCTAAATGTTATCAAATAAAGAAAATCTAACATTAAAAATTAAATATTATTTAAATATTTTAATAACTAAATATCTTCAATAACAAAATATTAAAATTAATATTTTAAATAAATTAATAATATATTTTAAATAGTTACTGGATAACTTTCAATTATAATAAACAGATTAAGATTTTAAATATTTAGTTAAATAACTAAATATTTTAAATGACAAAATATTTAACATAACAAGATTTTAAATAGTTAAAATAACAAAATTATGTATTAATAGTACTATAATTTTATGGATTATTAAATTCAACAAGTAATTAATATTTTAAAATTTAAATAATGATATTTTTTAATAAATAAATGATATTATAAATAACTAATTTCATTTATACCAATTAACGATTGTAGAAAATAACTTTCAAAAATTATTATTTATTAGTAATATTTTAAAAACTTGACACCTATAGTAAATGCCCCGCAGTGATGACTTATGGGAGTTACGATATTGCCCTTTGATGAGGCCAAAATGGCTAAACTGCCTTTGAGGGGTGCTATGTGTCGACATCTGGTGAGGTGACCCATTACACCCGCATCAGGTACACCTGTGAATGTAATGTTGTAGGTTCGAAGCAAACCTGTTGCGAGAACGACATTGAAGATTATTTTAAGTATCTACCTAGTGTGATTCTCAAATGTGAGTAGCTCTAAAACTTTTTCTTTCTTTGCTCCACTTTAAAGTTCGCCCAAGTGTCTGTTCCTACTATAATCCAGAGTTGTTGGATGAGTATCATTTCTGTAGGAGTTGTTATTTCTTACCTTATACTAAATTCGGGAAAAGAAGGTAATTTTAAGACACATAACTGGCTAAAACCAAACGAAAGCTCTCCCAGCAATAGTTTGGACGAGGGTATTATGGGTGATCAATTTTTACCATTATGTTTTTGTTTTTATTTTATTTGAAAATAAAAATAAAATAATTAAAATTTACAATCCTATTATAAAAGATTCAAGCATATTCAACCATATTTTTAAAAATATTAACATATAGACCTATGTGTACATATATACATATATAAATGTATGTGTATATATACATATATATTAGCGGGGATCTCATGGGGCGGGGATTGGGGTCCACGTGAGGCAGGGAGTGCTCTCCCTGTTCCCACCAACGGGGATGAAAATTTCCCCATCTCTGTCCCCGCGGGGGAAAATCATCCCCATCACTATCCCATTCGGGGAAGATCCCTACAGTGATTGGGGAAATGGGGAAAATTGCCATCCCTAAGTTTGAAAAACAACCTTATCTAAAATTAATTACTGTTATTTTTGTCTTGTAAAAGAATTATTAAAAGTAGTATATAAAATATAAATTATTATTACTTATTATGTAAAACAATTGTATACTCTTACATATTTCTATTGTTTATCTTTAACTTAACAAATCCCGTGCATCGCATGGGCTCCTGCTAGTTCAAAGTAAAATGAAGATACCTTTCCGTTTTCTGACCGATGTTTTATATGAAAAGACTGTATTTTATGTATATTAATAGGGATATTCTGGTCAATCAGAAAATCCTCCAGGCTTCAGACTTTAGACAATATGCTTTCCTAACACATCCCCAAAGATATTGAATCTCCATCGTGGGATATCCGGTAATTTCACCTTTTTATTGCGATAAATCAGGAAATTATCGCATGCGTGCCGGATGACTAGCAGCTTGGAAAATCGAGCTCTGGTCTAAGAATGAAAATAAAAAGTAGGAAAAATTTCACTTTAATACCCTAAACTTTGGGGGTAGTGTCAAGTTAGTACCTAAACTTTCAAACGTATTGTCATTGCAGTACCTAAACTTTTAAAAAGTGTCAAGTTGGTCCCTTCCGTTAACCAACCGTCAGTTATCTATTAAAAGTGTCAAAACTACCTTTCAAAGACACTGTTCATTGTCTTCTACCATGAGACTGAACAGTGTCAAAATTACCCTTCAAACACCTCAACCGGTTCAGTCTCAAGGTGGAAGACAATGAACAGAGATAACTAACGGTCGATTAACAGTAGTGACCAACTTAACCCTTTTTGAAAGTTTAGGTACTGCAATGACACTACCCCCAAAGTTCACGTAGTAAAGTGAAATTCTATATAATTGTATACAATATTTATATTCATAATTATACTATATCTGAAGTAATTATCAGACTAGAGTTTCAATCGAATCAAATGGGATAAATTTGCATCTTATCTTATTATGATCAGATACAAATTTTGACAAGCCAATCCGGAATAATTGGATTCAGAGACATTCGGAGTCCATTGACAGCCCTAATTGCCTGCGGACACTTCTGAATGGTACCTGGACCTTATATTGGAACCGTGGTACCTTGGACCTTATATCGGAACTGTCTATTCCAAATTGAAAGAGTAATTTTACCAAAAAAAAAAAAAAACAATTGAGAGAGTAAAAGAAAAAAATCAAATATCCTAAAAAATTAGAATAAAAAGTAAATATGATTTGACATTGGACCCGATCTTAAACAAACAACACTTACAAATCACAATAGCTATGCCAGATGACGCAGACCTGGTAATAGCAATACTCTATTACTATTTCAGAGTAATGATCATGAGAGAGCACTCAGCAGCCACGTCAATAAAACTGGTGAATCCCACCATGCACATCAGTCATTGGCCTGAAAAGTTGAGGCATTTAAATAACTTGCTAATAGTTATTTTGGGACCATTGAGTGAAGAGCACTGTTATAGATCACAGCATTTACTCGGGAAGTCAAAAGGGATAGCTTCGGAGGGCTGAAGCATTGCTTGAGCTAATTTCACTGAGCTACTTCAGCCATATTTTGGACTGAAGAAGAGAAAATTTGAGCTTTTCGGATTCTTTTACCAGCATTGTTTAATAGGCTGTCCGGATGGAGACCACCATGCAAAGCCAAAAGCCGCCATAGGAAAGCCCTCTCAAAGGGCACAAATAATGTGGGGCTCCTACAATCCCACGAGCAATAGATAGAAGGCTGGAATTGTAATAGAGGTCGTGACTCGTGAGAGTGAACCTGAGTCACGAGTAAAAGCTCTCGTTTGACAAACCACCGCAGAAGAGAAGAGTTCAATACACGGCAGGAACGTGTTGTGGGACGTTGTGGGGGGCAATCTTGTGGGGGGCTGATTTGATCTGAGAATGTATTTCAAAACTCAAAAGGATTTCTTTTGGCAACATAGAATGGGTTACTGGTCCAAGCTTGCCACGTGAGAGGATGATGTGGCGAGCATAAGAAGCACTTTTGGGCTAGTACTTACCTGACATTAGTAAGAGCCCTGCCTTTTCCTTCCAAACTCTGGCCACAAACCGAGACTGGATCTGCTGCACACATGGCATCTCACACTGACCTCACACGCACATCCTATCATGCATTGGGAACATCTCCCGTACTTATAAGTTATTATTCACGGGAGATGTTCCCAATGCACGGTGGATGTGCCTGTGAAGCGCCCATGTGTGGGGAGCAGATCCCGTTCCCCACAAACCGGTTCTCTATATGTGCCAACTATAGCTTTGCTTCTGGTACAAGGAACCCACCATTTGACCTGTAATTTCATTCCATATAAATAGAAATACTGACCCTAAAAACAATCATTGCTAGGAACCTAGCGCAAATGTAAGACCTTTATAACATTAATGCTTCAACCAAATGATTCTTGCAGCATTTTCATTTGCATCCACCAAAGGACGAACGTTCCCTCTCAATATTTGTCAAATGGACTAAAGATCCTCGTTTGAGTCAAGTCATCCAGGATGTTATCCACCCCAGTACACAATTTCCTCTCTCTCTCTCTCTCTCTCTTCTGTGTTGGGGGGGGGGGGGGGGTTAAATACATCTAGGTCCTAAAAATTGGCATTCGTTGTCTAGAAAAATTGAATGTGAAGTTCAAAAAAGAATTGTGTGAAGAAAACATCATTAATCAAAAAAAAAAAAGATCACCTAATCCAGGAAATTCAACCCAGACTTTGATGAGGTGAAAATGGAAAAGTCAATAAATAATTCTAAGAATGTAGTTATGATTTTTTCCTCTCAAGTCATCAGTCACAGGTACTTTGCCAACCAAGGTATCTCTTTGCTGTCTTTCAGTGCAAATGCCACATCATCACTGCCATGTCATAACACATTTTCTAGTCAATTGCTGTCATCTGATGCTAACATCGAGATGATTAGAAATTACAGAACAAGCGGAGATATGCAGACTGATAAGTATGATAACACATTATCTGGACAAGTCCATAAATAATATGTGCAGAAATATGCAGTCGGACCAAACTGATCAGTTAGGATACTTGGATACTTAAATATGAATTCTTCAGTAAAAGGAACTAACCTCGGGAAGTTAAGCTGCAACTTTTGTAATCTATGCCTAGCTCCAGCCTCGCACAATATAACTCTGCATTCACCAAGCTTACAGCTGCAAAAAGGCATATGCAAGACTCAATCCTTATATTCATCATTTTAGAGGAGTTGTTAAATAGTAAAGTTTTTTCTAGACAATCCTAGTTTGTTACACACGACAACTATTGCAGAGGCCAAAGGAGGTCAGCCTTATGTTCTACACATTAAGATATGTAATATGGTGCCAGAAGTCAATCTAAAATACCGAATTTTGTTTGACAAGCTAAAAATTCAAGGGGTGTTGTTAATTGGGAGAATGCCCAATATGTTACATGGCTATATGGAAAAGAAATCATAGATGTGGCCAATCCAGAGGGTGTCCCAGTGGAAAACCTGGATTGGACATTTTGTTACTCTGTTCAACATGACAGAAACGGAATGTAAATTGACCAAACAAAAAATAAATGTCAATATGTCTTACCCAACTCTCAAGAGCACATCCCAGCCAGGAAATGCTTCACCATTGCTTGCACAGAGACAGGAAATGGTTGTTGCTATCTGCAACGGTCGAAATGAATTAGAAAAAAATTGAAATTCACCTTTTAGAACAGGAACCATCTCATCAAGATTAATTATCATCACAAGTACTTGCATCTAAAGATGTCATTGAAAAATGACAAATCATTCATCAAAAAGAAAAATGACAAATTTCTGTTTGGATGTAATTTGTTGCTAAATCTCAGTATGCCTGAGAAGCAAGCAAACCTCATAATCTCATATATTCTGAAAATCAAGTATCTCAGTAATATTTTTTTTGAAGAATAAAGAAAAATTTTATTACTTCAGAAGTTAATAGAGAACTTTAAACTCATATAACAGCCCATGAAGGAGTGCAAGTTGCAGCTTCTCCCAAATGAGCCCAAAACAAGACTTCCCAATTTGTCCCTTGCTTAGCTAAACCATCAGCCAAACAAGTATCTTAGTAATATTGCATAACAAAGCTATCTTGTATGAAGGAAAATAACAGAATACTGCAGGCTTTAAAAGTTGCACCTTGAAATTGCAGTGTTCAGATAAGCATCCACAGAAAATATGTACCTTCTCAAAGGTGGTTTCACCCATTCCAGTTTTGTAGAGCTCATGCACCATAGCAACCAGAAAGATTTTACTCAGTCTGGAACAGTTTTTCATAACCTGCAAAAAGAAAAACGAAAGTCATTTGCCAAGAAAAGAAAAGATCAATTAGTTGTAAGTGATGATCCAGGAAGTGGAAAAAATGTGCATCCAAGAAAAAAAAAAGAAAACAAAGAAAAGTATTGCCAGGATCAAACAACTGTCTATGAAATATCTGTGACAATCAAGTTTCCAGACAAATATATAAGTTGTAATTTCTACTGAACAAAGAAATTTTAGAAACCAACTAAATATTTATATGCAGTAGTTGTAAGACATGCTGGCTCTTCCGTTAGACAAAAGCCACATAAATATGTACATAAATACATGCACATGTTTTCCCACCATGCACACACATTCAATCACTAGACATAACTTTCATTACATCATTTTTTTTAAGATACAAATATAATTTCATTATTATGAGGCAGAACCCCAAGAGAACAGCTAGCAAATTACTATACAGTGACCGTACAGAAGGCCTCCCACAAAAATAAAATCAAGGAGAGCATGCATTGCAATATTTTTCAATTACATCATTATATACAAAGCACAGTCTCTTTATATTGCATACCACCATGAAGTAAATTATGTTAGAAACATAATGTATTAAGCAGCATGTTTTCCTTTTTTTTTAACTGAACATAATGCATGTGCACCATTACCACCAACAAACTCCCCAGTGATTTAAAAGGCATGCCTTAGGCGCACCTAGGCACACATGTGAGGCGCAATTTAGGGTAGGCACCTCGCCCAGGTCCTAGGCGCAGCCCTTTCAAAAGGCGCATGCCTGGTGCGCCTAGGTGTGTGCCTGGTGCACCTTGCACCTCATCCCAGGCGTGCACCTGGTGCTTTTTTCTCAATTGCATTACTTCAAGAACCCCCTATTTGGTAATGTTGTTCATTCATTCATCCTAATATCTTCTTAAAAAGCAATTAAAACTATTAAATCATTTTTTTTTTGTGTGAGAACTAAGAATTTAAGACCTAACGTGGACTTGTTTGGGCTTGCCTCGAGGGGCGTGGCACAAAGTCAGCTCGTAGAACTAGAATCAGGAATGTAATATGTTTTACATCACATTAGATGCAATTGAGAAAAAAAGAGATTGTGGGTTTTATATGTTCGATTTTATTTTTAAATTCTCATTTGAATATGCTTTACATGTTATATTTGTGTATTTTAATTTTAGATAATAGGTTTTTTAAAACATTGATTTTACAATTTAAGTTTATTATGTTTAATATTTTTTTGATTTTTTGCATTTTTTTGATTTTTTAGCTTTTTTTTTATTTACTGTGCCTTGCTTAAAAAGGCACATGCCTCACCTTGCACCTTGCGCCTCAGGTGCAAATTGACCCCTGCACCTTTTTTGCGCCTTGTGCTTTTAAAACACTGAAACTCCCCAAAAGAATGAAGGAGACAGGAACACTAATTCTGTGGTGCATACTTTCAGACAACTACAGCAATTCAAGTATAAATACTCAATCATTCACTTTCCCGTTTCTATGTTTTATACATGCTCTCTGGATCCTCTAGTCACAAAATACTGATGCAGCTCTACAGGTTGTTGATATTAGACCCATATCCAGATGTTAGGAATAAAAAGGCATGCCAAGACAGAATCACATAAAAATTCAATAAGAAACTGAGGATCCCACCTCATCAAGCTTCTTAAATAATTCATTTGGTAATCTACTTAATATGTTAAAATTTGTCTCTCATCAGGTACCTTCAAATTTAAGTTTTGAAGAGCATTTTTTTGATTAGTAGTTTTGAAGAGCATTCTAGTTCCTCTTTTTCTTTCTTTGTTTATACAAGAAGAATTGGTGTGACTTTAATTACTTTCAGAGATGGCATGAAGCAAACAGTTTCTCATACATCAATTCTTAAAAGAAAAATTAGAAAAAAAGAGAGAGATATCAGAGGTGGTGATCCAGTATGGGAGAAAATAAATGAAATAATGGAAGATGAAAATTGATGCCTCATATTAGAAAATCTGATAAAGACATGGAAGAAAGGAAAGAAATCATGGAAGGATAAGTCAAGTCACTGTGGCTTCCTGCATCAGTGGCAATTTTATAATTTTTAGTTTATCTAAATTGTAGTCAAATTGAGATATTTAAAGTTGATGTGATAGGTTGTCTGTTATTATTTTGAACTGATAAATTGTCACTTGATGTGATAGGTTGTCTCTTATCATTTAATAACAATGAAATGCCATAAATGTAAGTAAGAGGTGTTCCGGTGGCCTTAAAAACTGATACGGTTAACCCTGTATTGGAGTATTGTATCGCTACTTTAAACCTTGGATAAAAGGTTGGCAGCTGGCACTAAAACTTTTGCCAAACCCTCATGATCATGGATCCTGATTTTTTTTGTGCTCATGCTAGGGTGGTGTCCTTTGGAAATGATGCACTACTTCTTAAACTAAGTGAGAGGAGTGGCTGGGACGAAGAAGGGGAGGAGGAGGAGGTTCTGGGGGAGGATATATGAGAAATTGGGCCTCAATTTGTTTGTAGGGGTCAGACAGGGCTTTGAGGATGAGGATTTGGGGTGGAACATTAGGGGTCTGAGGGAAAAGAAAAGCAGTGGTCAGGAAATTAATCAGACGATTCAAACCAGAGGTTGTCCTTCTCGAGGAAACAAAATCAGATACCTTCAACATGAACTTGAAGGAAGATTGGCTTTGGAGACTCGGTTCAGGCTGAAATATTGGCTCTCTTACAACTTGGAGTAAGGAAATTGGAAATTGAAGGAGATTCGCAATTAGTCATTTCATGGACCAAGAATATCAAATCAGCCCCTGAGAAATACAGACATGCTTTCAAGGAAATCGACCTCCTAGCAAAGAGGTTTAATTCTAATGTCAACTAGATAAGGAGGACTGCAAATGGGATGGTAGATGTGTTTGCGAAACAAGGAGTTGATAGGTGGATTGCTTTAATAACTGTATTAAGTTTCTGATTTATTAATGCAATCCTTTTGCTGATAAAAAATTATGGTGATCTTTCTGATAATGAGGGATTTTCTGTGGGCAGGTTGGAGGAACACCTTCAAATTCAACTTGGTAAACTGAAAATCTGTGTGTCAGCCTAGAAAATTTGGATGTCTTGGCATCAGAAATCTCAAACTGGTGAATAAGACTTCTGGGCAAATGGTGTTGGAGATTTAGCAAGGAGAGATTCAGCCTTTGGAGAAAGATCATTAAAGACAAATATGGGCTGGGATTCAGGTCCTGGTCTCTCCCCTAAGGGTTGTGCTTTATGGAGTAGCACAGCATCTATCCTCCCTGTTTTCTTGAGGGGCATCAGGTACAAGGTTGGTAAAGGTAATCGCACTTGATAAGGATGCTGTGGTTGGAACCTGCTTTGACTTTGTGGGTGGGAAGGTTGTTTGGGGTCCCATCTTTCGAAGAAATCTCAATGACTGGGAAATCAGCCCCTTGACTAAGATGTTATGCCTAATCCTCAAGCTGAAGATGAAAGAATTTGATTATGGAGCTCCATAGGCAAGTTCTCCTCTCAGTCCTTCTAATAAAAGCTTGGTGTTGTGTAAGGACAATGACTTCCCTTGGGCCCTGATCTGGAACTCTCATGTCCCTTCCAAGGTTTCCTTTCTAATCTGGACCGCAGTTCTGGGTAAATGCCTAACCACTAATTGGCTGCTTAGAAGGGGGATGTTTCTTTCAAACATCCTATGCCCCCTTGTGCAATGGAACTCCTGAATCCTCCAACCACCTTTTCCTCCATTGCAGCTTCTCTTTCCAGCTGTCATTAATGGCTTTCTCCTGCTTCGGATTTCAGTCCTTGCTTACCTGAATCGGCTCTTCAACTGCTGCAAGGGTGGTCCCTCAATGGTCTGAACACAAGGGGCAAACTGCTTTGGAGGATCTTTCCATCTGCTATTCTATGGGCCATTTGGAAGGAAAGAAATAGCTGATTCTTTGACAAGTTTTCTGATGTGGTTTCAGTTAAAAATATGGTTATAGGTTTTTTGTGTTCTTGGTTAAGGTTCAAAGGGCATTCAGGGGTGTCCAGCTTTTCTCTTTTTTGAAAGCTGGACCATTCTTTTGTTGACACTTTTTGTACATTCCCACTGTATAGGCTCTCATAGTACATGGGCTGATGTTTATGCTTTTCCTCATACTTTAATGCAATTCAATACTTTACCTGTTTCAAAAAAAAAAAAAAAATTTCTGATAGGATGCTAATCTGTAACTGGATTAAGTTTTTCTATTTTCTTAATCTATTGTAGAATTATTTTTGGTGGTTTAGTTTTAATAGGATTGGTTGTGGGTATTCACAATTACTTACAAAGTTGGAGTACTTATTTGAGTATTTTTTTTTGTGGATTACCTATAGGTTTGTCTTAGGGTACAAAGAACCAAGCATTTAGAGATTTGCCCACTGGATGCTTGGTTCGCATAAATAATTGTGTGCTACTTTTTCAGTGATTTGAGTGAGTTATAATTCCAAGAATGCCTCTAATGTATTTCAAAGAATTATAAATTCTACCAAAAAATCAGAATTGAGTGTTCAGTGGATAGATCTCCATTCTTCTATTTGTTTGGAAGGGGGAGGGGGGGGGCTGTTAGAACAAGTTTTGTCCATTCTTTTTTTTTTATGTTGATAAATGAAAAAAATTATTATAAAATGGATAAGAAACAGATACAAGTAGCCTTGGATAGGCACAAACTGCGACCTCTCCAAGCAATCAAAATCAAAACCAAACTACAAAGGTGCCCAGTACAACTGTTCCCTGTTTGCCTCTTGCTTGGCTAGAATATCAGCCATAGCATTAGCTGATGTCTCCACCCATTGTATTCTTGTTGAATGGGGTGATTTATGTTGGGCCGATTTATGTTTAGTTTGTTTTCTTTTAAATTAAGAAGTTGTTGGGCCTTGRGCCCATTAGTCTTTTATTTTTAAAAGAATTGTAAGTACTTAGTTGAGCTGCTGCCCTATTAGGGGCATCTTTGTAATATCCCATATTTAAGTTAATTATAAATAGAATGAGGGGC